TATATGGTGCCAGGTAGGGGGGTGGAGGTTGTGGCAGTTACACGCCGTCCTGCCCTGAAGGTGGCCTACTGGGGTTCTGGGGCCCCTTGGGAGACGGGCGCGTCGACACGCCTGGCTCGGCCCCCGCGAGCCCGCCTCCCCCCTGCCTCTCTTCCTTTGTTCAGGGGGCAACAAAGCGAAGAAGCTGTGTTGGGGCCTGAATTCCAGCGGAGGGAAGTGGGGACCCCGTAAGTAAACAACGGAGCCAACAGGCAGACAAAGGACCACGCGTACTGGACAGCGGTCAGTGCCTGCGGAGACTGGCGTGGGCCGGGGGCGCTGGAGCCCCCTGGGAGTGGAGGTGCTGCAGAGGTGACCGCGGGACCAAGGCCACCGCCCTCATGGGGCGGGGGCAGGAAAGGCCCAAGGCTGACGGGGTTTTCATGCTGCCCTTGGTGTGACCAGGCCAAGGCCGTGTGTGTGTGTGTGTGTTGGGGGAGTCGGCCTGGTTCATGAGGGCGTAAGCAGGAGTGGCCCGAGGCCACACTCTGGCTAAGCCGTCCGAGGGAGGCTGTGACGTCGCACCTGCCAGGAAGGATAGGGGCCACAGGGAACCACCGGGACCTCTTGCGGCCGCCCCTGTGGCCAACGCCGAGCAGACACAAAGGCCGGCGTTGCCCTCGGCGTGGGTGCGCCTTGATGCCGTCTCCATGGGGACGAGGCCTCCAGAAGCCCCAAGGCCTGGGTCTGGATGACGCACTGGAGAACGTGTGGCTCCTCCCCTGCCCTTGGTGGCTCAGCGAAGGGAGGCGATGGCATGCTGTGACATTAATAAAATCGTTTATTAAGAACTTCGAACGCGTGGAAAAGAATGCAGAGCGCCTGCCGTCCCAGCCCCTCCCCGCTGGGCGCAGCCCCCGGGCGAGTGTCTCGTCGGCTGCCACCCCGCTCGCCTGCTGAAGGACAAAGGTTTCCGCGTAAATGTTTCTCATTCAATTCGATTTCTCCGTGGGGTGTGATATTCCATTTCGTGGACGTCTCGTCATTTACTTGCTGGTTCCGAATTCTGCTAGTATAAATCCCCACGAACACTGTCTTCGTCCACTGCCCTGCCCGTGCCCAGGCCTCGGCTGGTCAGAGCTGCCGCCCGCGGGCAGGACCGGGCGGGAGGGCTGGGAGCTGCGGGCTGGGAGCTGCAGGCTGTGGACAGCGGTTGGTTCCTGTGATCTGTGAGTCGGCAGGTGCTTATGGAGCGTGGACCAGGGGTGGGCATCACCCCAGGGGCTGCAGGCGCAGGCACAGGAGGTGAAACCCGCCTCACCACGCTGCTCCGGCGCCGGATGGAGCTGGCCGTGTCGGCAGCAGGCATGGAGACCAGAAAGCACAGGCTGTCGGGGTGATCGGCACGGTGGGGAAATCGACCAGGCCCTGGAGCCAGGCGGCGGGGGTGCGGGCGCTGCGTGTGTGTGCGTGTGTGTGCATGTGCGTGCGTGTGCGTATGTGTGGAGGTGACAGCTCAGCAGAGGTCAGAGTGTAGGGCCTCCGTCCATTCATCCACGTGGCCAGGACGTGAGGGCCCCAGCCGCACTTCACACCGGCGGACCATGTGACCAGGGGCTGAGACCTGAAGCGTGTGACCTGGTTTGGAGCCTGATGCTCTTTTCTGGATACCGCGTGCTTCCCCAGCCCGCTCTGCCTGCACATAACCTGCGCTTCCGGTGACACGTTACGCATGTAGCGCAGGGCGAGCTCCCTGGTGCCTCTTTGGACACAGGGAGAAGGGTTGACCTGGGCAGAGGTCACGTGCCCTGCCCTGTCCCTGTTCCCAGCCTTGCTCAGCTGGCCCTGTGGCCCTGCCCATTCCAACTCTCTCCCTGCACAAACCCACAGTCCCCACCCAGGACCTGCTGCCTGCGGAGCTGGACAGACGCCCCAGGCACAAGCCCCGGACTTGAGGAAATCTACTGTCAATTTAAAACAAAAAGGCCAGCTGGCAGACAGGGGGACAGACAGCGTTGGGCGTGGTGGACCCGGGACCTCTGCCTCCAGCCACGGCGAGGCCATCAGTCAAGCCTCGTGGGTAGTGCTGGCCGGTCACCACCCGACTGGTGTCCATTCCATGAGGCCAAGCTGGGGACAAGCACAGCACTTCTGTCATTTCTCCCTCGCGAGGACGTGTGAGACCCACAGCATCGTGGGAAGCAGGACACCGGCACAAGAGAGAGGCGAGAACATGGAGTTTAGGCCCGGCCACCGCACGACTGCCCCGACTCACCCCGCCACACGTGTGTGGCCGCGCACATGGGGACTGGCCCTCCCTCTGGGCTTCTGTTCCGGACCCGCACCCTCGGCATCTCCACCGCCTCCCAGCCCGCGCCTGGCCTCGGGCCCCTGCTGCCCAGACTCTGCAGGGCCCCCACCCCCAGCACGTGGCACTGCTGGGACCTTTGCGTCTTTGGGACGAGACGGTGGTGTCCACCCCTCTGGAGGTGGGGTGTCATCTTGTGGATGATTAGCGGGGCGCACGGCAGTATGAGCCGAAGGAGAGAGGGGTCTTCTCTTTCTGTGTGTGGGTCTGTACCTTCCAGGTTTTCTATGTTGGTCACGTGTTCCTGTGTACCATGGCAGGAAGAAAGTGTCCCTTCCCCTCCTAGGTTCTCCCCATTGGTCCAATAATTAAATTGATGTGAGAGAGAAAACGACCAGATTTAATGCACGTGTCCTTCTGGAGCCCCACACAGGAGAGGTGCAGGGTCAGGGGAGATGGGGGTATGTGACATTCTGAGCTAAGGATCAGCTAAGGTGCCTGGGGCCTCAGAGGGGAGGAGGTCACTGCCAGACGATAAGAGCAGGTGTGCGGTCATTAGAAGCTGGGCCTGCCCTGCAGAGAGGTCAAAAAGGTTATTTCCGGTGATGACTTGTTGTGGGCCGGGCCGCTAATTCCTTGCTTCCAGGCGGCTGGTGGGGGAAGGGGTGGATGTTTCTCTGGAGTCCGCAGGGTCTGGGCTGCCTGCAGCTCAGAACCTGCCTGCCACCCGGGCACATCTTGGGGTGACTCATTCTGAACTCCTACGGTAAATAAAGGAAAAAATAAAACTCTAACAAGAGAAGGCCATGAATGCCATGAGAACTTCGGCGACATCCAGCAGTGACTCTATGGTGAGGTATAAAATGCAAAGAATGAGCGCGAAGTTCATTTTCTCAGAGCTGCGGGTCGAGGATCGGGTTGGTTCAGCGCAGAAAGGCAGCCCCCCCGGGTTAGTGCTGTTTGCTGCCCTGGCGCCCTTCACTGCACCGATGCCCTTCGAAGTGGGCTCGCCCTGCCCTGAGGCCTCCCCACCACCCCCCGGGGAGAGGACAGCAGCTGTGACCTTGCGGTCCAGGGGCGAGGCGAGATCCCCAGGCCCAGTTCCGACCCAGTTCCAGCCGCTCCCTCCTGGAGCTGCAGACAGGCCCGGGGCCAGAGACAGTCACACCTGCGGAGGCAAGTCCTCTGACTGCAGATTTAAGGGTGGGTGGGGCGGGGCGGAGGCAGGATGAGCCTGGGGACACGTGAGGCTCCCGCTCAGATTCTTCCCCAGGGCAAGGCCAGCTGGCGGACAGAGGGACAGGCAGAGAGACTGCAGCGGGAAAGGGTGTGTCAGGGCCCAAGGACACCGCTGACCACACGTGAACGCACCACACGCATGCGCCCGTGCGCACCGCAAAGCCAGAGACACACGCAAAGCCGTACGGGAACAGACACACAGACTCAACCACCCCCACTGCGCAGTTACGGGCGGGACACACACAAAGGGCAGGGACCCTGCCCAGCCCCACCACCTGCATAGGAGACGAGCTTTGCTAAGCATCTACGCTAATCCTTCCTACTTCACCCAGTTCTTTTTAAAAAAGATTCGGGTGGCAGCTCTCTAACTTGACTTTTCTGCTGGCCAAGGACCACGAGTGCCCTTGCCACACAACCCTGAAAAGGTATCCAGGTGTCAAGGCAGAGGGTGATGGAGGTGTGGGCAGGTGGCCGACCGGGCCTGGGGTCCAGGGCAGCATTTGGCCTTTGAAGGGGACAGCAGATGGGGTGGGGGGAGCGGTAACAATGGATGGGGTTAGAACCCAGGCAGGCCCCTTGGGCACACGGAACTGTGGGAGTGGAGGGCATGTGGCTTGGGCCTGGCCAGGCACTTGGTCTCTAGGCTGGTTGGAGGGTGGGGTCAGAGGACGTCCAGCTGGTGTGGGGCAGAGAGGCCAGGGGCAGAGAGGCCAGGGGCATGGAAGCGCCGTGTCCAGGCAGGAGGAGACCCCGGAAGGGCAGTGGGGGCGGGGGTGGGTGTTCAGTAGTAGTCCACGGTGTTTAGCAGAAACTTACTGAGCCAAGGCCACGGCAGGTACAAACTGCGAGGTGACAGCGTCCAGGGAGATGCGAGTTTACTGTGAGGAGTGGGGTATCTGGGGTTCTCTGCGTAGACAGGCCCAGGGGGGCAGGTTGGAGGACAGGACGCCATGCGCGCTGCTGCGCTCCTCGGGAGGAAGGAGCTGCGACGCGGATCCGGCGCGGGGCAGGAGCACCGGCCTGGGAACATGGAAGCGGAGGGGATATGACCGGTGGCCGGACGTTACTAGGAAGGCTCTGTGTGGCGCAGCGGGGCCTCCAGGCACCAGAGGGTCTTCCTGGGTCAGGTCCTGGGGCTGGGGCGCAGCGGGCAGCGCCCCTCCCGCCCCTCTGAGGGCGGTCACCGGAGGCTTCGCGGCTTCGCGGGCTGCAAGAAGCTCCGGAGGGCGCCGCGGGCGAGTGAGGCCTGCAGAGCGCTTTGGTCCTGGGCCGGAGCCCGCGGAGCCAGCGAGGCTGGAAGCGCCGTCGCCACGTGGCTACTGCGCCCACGAGGCTGGGCCGAGCTGCCCGGCTTCCTCCCACTCCAACCACTGGCCCCGGAGAGAGCTGCGTCACTCCAATCGCCTGCCTTCCCGCTGTCCCCACCGGACTCAGGGCCTGAGGACAACGACTCCCCCGGGGACCGCAGAGGGCACCTTCCGAAAACGCGTCCCAATAAACGCCCGGAACTTGCTAGGGGCTTGAAGCCGGGACCGCACGTGCTGCGTCCCGCAGCCGCAGGAGCGCCTCTCTCTGGGGTGGGGGCGCGCGCGGGCCCGGCATGCAGGGCACCGGGTGGGGGGGAAGCACCCTTGACTGTCACACGGGGGTGATTGGACCTAGGGGAGCCCAGGTTCCGGTTCCCCCCTCTGCGCGCGGGCTTCTCCCAGCGTTGCCCGCCCCCGTCCTGTGTCGCGACCCAGCCCTGCGCCCCAGGCCCCACTTCCTGGCCACCCG